TTTTCTTATAATTCTTGGACATTTTTTTTATTTCCTTTATTCTGCATTATTCGGAAAGCAAATTACAAAGGTTGTGTATCGCATAGTTTGGTATTAAAACAAAGAATAAGGTTCTCTATATTTTCAAAATTCAGTTTGATTATTTTTAAAAATACCTTGGGGGCAAAGACTTTTGGAGATGTGTGTATATGAAACTAATTTAATTACGAGTATTAAAACTAAAATCCTAAAAGTGGAGGTGGAGGTGAGGACACAGCGTCTGCCTTCCACGGAAGAGACCCTGATTCAGATCTGAGCTGGCGACTAATTAGATTAAATCTTTCTTTCATGTTTATTTTATTTTATAAATTAGTAAATTAGTAAAAGTCATAAATAATTTTAGAATTAGTTATTTTGTCTTGATAACCTAAAATAATTCTTGAAATTCGTAGATTTTCGTCGAAGAAAAAATATACTGTACAACTCGAGTGGATTGTCCATATCCACTCTTGTTGCACAAACTACTATTGCTAACTTACCTAAGTTTTGATAATTTTATTTGTGATCTGCATCATTCTCTCATTTCTCAAAAAATATATATTTTTTAAATAATCTAGTATTGAATGCAATATTATAAGAACATTCTAAAACGGAATTAAAATATAGGGTGTTTCATTTAAAAAAATATACATTTTATTTGCCAGGCCAAAACGCAATAACCTGTTAAATGGCTTCTTAAAATCCGTATAACTTTTATTCGAAACTTGTATGTATTAAATATGAAATAACGAGCAATGACGAACTAATGGAACACCCTGTGTTTAGGCTTCTGCGACTTCATGATCTAGAACACCTAATCATTTATTTTGATAAAACTAAATAAACAAGCAAGTTGATGATAAAAGCTGTAATTATTATTTTGTTTTTAAATTTTGTTGTGACAATAAAAATCTGTCGATAAAAATAAATGTTTGCAACAAATATTTAAACTGTAATATAATGTAACTGGACACAAAAGTGTATCTGTGTATTATTTGGTTTCACGAATAAAATATAACGAATGAAACAAGTTTTGAAGACTGCGTTTAAAAACATTTAATACCACATATGTATCTTATTTATTTTAATGTCTTGAATGTACTCCTATTCGCTCCGTGCGTGACAGCAGCGCCAATTCATTTAGGTACTAATGGACTATTTCTGCGTATACTGACAATACAATTTTTAATATAATTCTTAATTAAAAAGTATATGTTAGTTTTAATAAAAGTAAAACATTAGTTTATTATTATATATTTTTATCGCTTAAATTAAAAAAAAATTAAGTATAATCGATTAAAATCAATAATAAAATATAGGCAGGCAACAGTATTTACGGGAAAATGTATGAGAAGTTGCCTAGGTCTAATAAGATGTCTTTGAAGAATTAACCTATTCGGCCAAAATAAAAAAATACCAATAAATAATAGCGTGATGTTAAAATGTATAAATAGAAGGATTATTATTTATATTTTCTTTTTGTTCAAAAAAAAAAAAACAGAATGAATTATTATAACTGGTTTCCTATCAGTAAGTCACAAAATTGCATTCCAGTCACATACAATAATTAAAGGCAGAAATCTTGAAATCTAGTCCTTGCTGAACATTTAAGAATAATGGGATGTTAAAGAACATCGTAAAATGATAATTTATTTTTTATTTAAAACCTTTCAAGTGTCTATTTCCAGTATTACTGTTATTATTACAAAAATAAAGGTAATTTTTCTTCTTATTGTACACCTATCCATTTATGTTTTTGATTTAATTTCCACTTTGCTACTGAAAATTTTTATAATTTTCACTGTTTTTTTTTTGTTAGTATTTTTACCATTTTCAACACAGCAACTCCGGTTGCTTATTGTATTGTTTAACCTACTTTTTTGAAAAATAAAAAAAGTAAAGTGTATACGTGTATTTGTTATGCCAAAATTACAAAATATCGCCCTAAAATGCACGAATTATCCGCAACTAGCGCTAGTATCGCTTTTGCTTCCCGTACCATGACTTCGCACTGAGCGAATACAATTTTTTGACGAGTGATTAGAGGTATCTAATGACGTAAAAAGAGCAATTAAATGTTTATGTGTACAATGTATAATAATTTTTGTTTTTAAGACATGTTTTTACTGTGAGGTTTTATCAGAAAAAGTTTAACTGATCTTGCTTAACAAAATTTATACATTTTCAAACGTACAAATTTTCTTTCCTTCTCACATTCTCTTTAGTTATAATTTAATTATGCAAAATACATAAGCCCTTATTAAATAAACGTTTTCTCGCCAAGATTAAAAAAGTTAATATTCAACTATATATTTTATAGCACGCTCTATATTTCTTTTATGATTACATTTACCCCTTTATCACACGCGTATAAATAATGTATACAATAAAATCCACCGGGCATATAAAACCTCATCATCCCCCATCTGTTTGTTTGATAATGAAATGTGGTTATCCATGACAACCCGGAATATTACCGGGATGAAAAATAGAGGGTTCGAATATATCCATCCAGCAGAGAAAGTAACACCGAGAGATTTAATATATGTAAGTGACGCGTCAAATATGACAAAAGAGGATGGTCCTTTTTAGTCCGTTTTTTGTAACGTATAATAATAAGCAGTAATTACGAGGATCTAACAGGGTAGGCTTTAGAAAACTTTCCGCTCATATATTTACTTTGTATGGAAGACATACCCATATTGATCTATGAGTTATACTGTTTTCGAAGTATTTAAATGGTTGTACGTTATTTATTAAAACCTTTCTAAGATGTTATTGTTATTTTTGATGTACCAATAGATGCTAATGTCCTGGAAATGAGATGACTCATCCAGATAGACGTTTTATCATCTAAGGACAATCGTGATGCACACAAAATGTATTTTATTTTACACGAAAAATATTTTTTAAGGCGACTATCCCAAAAACTGACACTTTACGAATTTATTAACATCCCTAATATAATTTTTTTGGACGCATATACTTTACAGCCGCTATTAATACACACAAGTTGTTTATCATACTTATCGTTAGTAATTCTGTACGAATAGTTGTTTCTTAACAATAGATTTTTATTCGGTCAATAAAAAATTTAAACTATTTTTGTATTTAAGTCTCTTTTCAGAAACAAGAATGTAAAAAAAAATATTGACGCGACAGTCACCTAAAAAGTGTGCTCCTCGGCCGCATGATCTTTACGTTGTATTGTATCTATTTTTTATGAATAACTCATTTTTTTTCTTATATTTTATCTGTAGTAGTAGACCAGGGTCGATAATTTTTTAAATAAAAAGTAAAAAACGGTTTATCTCGATTTCCGGCAAAACTACAAGTCCTATGGAAAAAAGTTAAATGGCAAAGTTATAGGTAATAAAAAGATCTACAACTTTTGTATATACACTTTTTTCATATAAACTCAAAATTTATGTGAAAAATTCAAATAACCAAGATTTTGGTTTTTTATTTTTCTTTTACAAAAAAAAATATTTTTTCATGAAATTTGGTGAAAACTTACCTTTTTATGTCCCAAACACACTGGAATTTTTTTGATTTAAAATATTTATTTTTTCACCTTATTTTGACTTAATATCGAAAAAACACCCTAATTTTCAATCGAAAATTCTCCGGTCAAAATATTTGTTTTTTTAAAAAAGTCTGTGTGCTTTTTGTTCGTTGAAATCTCTACTTTCTGATGGTGTAAAAATATATACATCACTATGGTAAATGTTCTCAGAAAATGCAAAGAAACGAAAAAAACTCGAATTAATTTTTTTTTAATCATTATGTACAATTTATTTATTTATTTATTAAAAATTTACATTTTAATTTAATTTTTATCTAACGATTAACACAAGGACAAAATAATAAAAACGTTAATGTGAAGATTACAGTCACAAGGATTTTCCTGTAAACAAGCAGAAGAAGATGCTGATGCTGACATAATTAAGTCCTCGATAGAAATTGCCAAAGATACTAATAAAACTGTCATTGTTGCGGGTCAAAATATTGATCTTTTGGTCCTTTTGAATCAATTAAATTCAAATAATCAAGACATTTATTTTCTCAAACCAGGTTCTGGAAATGTAAAAGATCTATTTTTCACGTCTAATAGTTTCAAATATGAATCCTTCAAAAATATCGTTGCATTTCAGCATTGTTTTTCTGGTTGCGATCACTGATCTGTATTATTTTACTGGATAGGATATAGGCTATATTTAATACACTAAAAATCCGTTCCACCAAGGAGACCGGAAGTGCAACACTGCTGGCCGATTTGGGCAAATTATGGTGGGATCACAGAACTGAATTTTGGGATAATTTGACATACCTAACCTATAATTTGATTAGTTTTTCTTTTTATTCTTCTTCTATTCCTTCTGCGGGCAATGTCCTTCGGGACAATTCACCTATAATTTGATTTTTTTATGAAAGAAAATATAAAAATGGAAACGTGAAGCATATTGTGTCTTCACGAATGAACGTTTATTGTTTATATCATAATAATGCTATCCGATACTACCTAAATAAATAAAAAAAAACGTGTCATCGTAATTTTTTGACACAATTAAATGACAAATGTGATGACAAATGGAAATAGAGGTTATGTTAAATAACATCCGGTCCGCCATATTTTTTGCCCAAATCGGCCAATTTTTCGGAACGTTTTTTAGGGGGCTATATCCTATCCAGTAAAATAATACAGATCAGTGGTTGCGATACAACATCTGGATTTGCCGAAAAATGAAAAAAAGTGGCAAATTCATTATTAGACGATAAAAAATTGTCAAATTTGGCCAATATTTTTTATAGAAAAAATGCAAAAACGCAAATATAAATCATCTTTCATATTGGTAAATCTCCCACCTACAGAAAGTGCAGCAGAACAACATTGTTACAGGGCATATTATCAGCTTCAAACTTGGCTGGGTATCGAACTGACAGCAACAGATTGGTGCTGGGAGCAACATCAACGTGGCATTATGCCCAAATTTACAAAAAAGAAATTAATTCCGGAAATATTGCTCAAAACTATTTGCTGCAGCTGTGAAACTGGATGTTTAAAATGTGGCTGCCGAAAACATGGTTTAAAACGCACAAATGTATGCTCAAATTGTCATGGTTCTGAAAAATGCTCCAATGTGGAAGAAAACCCCTACGAGGAAGTTAATGATTCAGATGAAATTGTGGATGAAGAATCAATGCATACTGGAAATAATATTGGAGATGAAGACGGTGATGGTCTTGAAGATTTCGAAGATCTACTAGAATCAGGAAGGTTTGTCGAATCTAACGATGAAGAAATGCTATCAGAGAGACAAAAACTAAGGGATAAGTGATTAGAATTCAAAATAAGGTATTTATAAATAACAAGATTACTGTATTTAAAAATATTATAATGAATAACTTAATCAGTATAAAGTATCTAAATTCAATAATACGATTTACATGTATATTTATATATTATGAGATATTCTATGACATGAATGTAATTAGAATTTAATAAATCAACATTTATTTTTACTGAAAAAAATTGCAGCAGTCACATTTTTTAAATGAAATCCCCTTTAAATCATATCATTAATATTTAGAACAACTATTTTCGCATGTTTCTTGTAATCTTCATGTTTTATGGATTTGTAATTTTTTTATCAATATAACATGGAATCTTACGTTTTTGGAGCAATTAAAGTGTAAATTTTAAAAAATAGTTCAAAATTGTAAATAATGATTAAAAAAAAATTCGGATTCGAATTTTTTTCGTTTCTTTGCATTTTCTGAGAACATTTACCATAGTATTGTATATATTTTTTACACCATCAGAAAGTAGAGATTTTAACGAAAAAAAGCCCACCGACTTTTTTAAAAAAGCAGTTATTTTCACGGAAGAATTTTCGATTGAAAATTAGGCCCCTTTTTCGAAATTGAGTCAAAATAAGATGCGAAAATAAATATTTTAAATCAAAAAAATTACAGTGTGATTGGGACATAAAAAGGTAATGTTTCACCAAATTTTGTGAAAAAATAAACTTTTTTGAAAAGATAAAAATAAAAAATCAAAAACTTGGTTATTTGAATACTTCAGATAAATTTTGAGGCTATGTGAAAAAAGTGTAAATACAAAAGTTGTAGATCTTTTTATTACCTACAACTTTGCCACTTAACTTTTTTCCATAGGACTTGTAGTTTTGCCGGGATATCGAGATAAACCGTTTTTATCCACTTCCCGACCTCAGATCACCCGTAAATTATTTTTCCTTTCATTTTTGTTATATGCTTCTCCTTTTTCAATAGGTTTCATTCTACTATTATTTTTTTTTTCACTTTTTACCATTTTCAAAAGCTTCAGCCCTGGTCTATAGGTATTCGATAACAATTAGTTGTTGATAATTTGGCAGAACTTGTCATTGATCATAAATGTCAATATTTATTCTTTCCCATTTAGTATCCTATTGTTGCTAGGCTTTAAAAACGGTTAAAAATAAATGATTTTGCTTTTTTTCCACATAGAATAATAAATAATTTAGCGGGAGTTACGAATACGAGTTATGTGTTTATGGTAATCTTATATTCAAGGTAGAAACAAATAATATGCAAGTGGAAGATAAAATTCTCAACGGTCTAACGACTCTAACTCAATACATCTGAAAAGGTCGCGGTTGACGAGGACAAGTACAACAATCTAATGTAACGTTATGAACATTTTTACTAAATAGGGTGATCACATTATTTACCATCCAGAATAACAAACAATATAACAATTTTTTTTAATTTCCGATTAAATCAAATTTATTTTTAACTAAAACATTGCTACTTTAATGTAAAATAGTAAACCATTAAAAGCAGTAGAATCACAAATGGCGAATTGTTAAATAGTATGTTTCTATAGGAGAGTCAAATTAATTTTCTAACAATAGCAATTATCTAGAAAAGATATTGTCATGCTGACATGTGGCTTATATACTAAAACATGTTTCTGCGAGCTGGAAAGTTGCAGGGATAACAATGTAGCCAACAATCAGGCCCAGTTCTCTCTTGCCAATTATAGGGAATAAATTTAACAGTTCTACCATAGTTCTACTTTCTTCACAAAAAGCTTTTTAATTTTGTTTTGACACTCTGTTTACTGTGGAGAAAGGTCTAACTTTTTGCATCAAAAGATTAAAAAAATTAAGTTATGTGGCTAATATCAGTTTCCTGACACACTTATGCACACTTCTTGTAGAATACGATATTTTTAATGAGTCTTTCGACATGTTCAGAATTCAAAATGTTTTGATTTGTCGCTTCTTTCACCTCACGGTAAAGGAGCGCCATCTGGTGATAAAACATAAGCCCCAGTAGCACGAAAAATAACACGTATGTACTGTCAGTTTCAAAGTAATTTTATATGTCAAGCAAAAAACCCTCGAAAAAACCTAATGTCTCAAATGTCGTTGAATGTTGAATATTATTGATAAACCGGAAGTTAACATTTTTTAGAAAATTGAGCGGCGAAGCTGTCAAAATATAACGACAGAAGTCAACATTCAGCACATATTTAAAAGCATAACAGCTTACTTTGTATCTGGATACTTTTTTAGAGGGTCACAAGTAAGCGTGTTGTGGCCTATACCGAACTATGCTATTCAAAACACAAAACTTTAAATCAAATATATTAGTAACAAAAATAACCTACGAAAAGTGTCCAAATTCGTTTCATATTTGAATATAACGAAGAAACAGCTCCGAAACCGGTACTGTGCTTCTTTATTGTTTGCTCTTGCCTTTCATGTTTAATATTCCATCATAAATTTCATTTTGTCCGAGTTCTTTTGCAAAAACAACACCTGTGCTCGCCGTTTCTGCCAAGATGAATGAGTAATTTTGTTTAATAATACAAAAATCTACCCTTTAATTCCCTTAATCCTTGAAAAACTGAACTTTCATGCCAAAAATATGTTTATTGAAAAACTTGCGTTGATTTATTTCCTAAAACCGGAAAAATTTAATTAAAACAGGAATTAGCCGTATTAGTGATATATTCAAAAAAAAAATCATATATTACATTATGTTTCTATCATTTATTTTACCAAGTGTTCCGTGGCGAGAGAAAAGAAAACCAGGATGGCCAAAAGAAATATGGACAAACAGGTACTAAAATTACATTCTTGAAAATAATGGAATAACTAGCAAGAAGAAGGAAATTGAAACAAATCATTACCACCAAATGAACTACCACCACCCCCATGTGGTATATCTATGTGATATCTAGTATTTCTTCAGTTTTAAGTTCAATTATGTACCAGTTGCATACAAAGCTTTACGTATGACTACTTAAAAATATGTTTAATGTATTTTAAATTTTTCCCTGCAATCAGTATTATTAACAGTAAAAAACTAAAATGGCCCTTTATGGATTCAAAACAGTGTTGTACATCAAACATTTACAGTTTGGTCGAACATGATAGTAATTTGAGCTACAAGAGTCGATATGAAAAAAAAATCTTAACAAAAACTTTTCCCCAGAACTAGAAAATGAATTTAAAATATACAGAAATAATCTTAACAATTTATTAAAAAAAAAGCAAACACAATTATTATAAAAACTTAATACACCATTTACAACACAATTTAAAGAAAATATACGATATTATATCAGAGGCGACAAATGAAACATCAACAAAAAATAATAGTCAAATACCAGTAACTAACGAAAATGGTGAGAACTTTCAAAATGATACGTTAATGGCTAATTTCTGCAATAATTATTTCTCTAACATAGGTACCAAAATGATAAATTCTATTTCTGAGGCCAATGATTTCAACCATGATATTCCACTTAACACTAAGACAATGTACTTAACTCCTGTATCAACGAATGAAATTATTGGACACATTAACTCTCTTAAAAATGGAAGTGCCCCTGCTTATGACAACATAACATCTAAACTAATCAAAACTATACATACATCGTTTTGCCATTATCTCATATAATCAACCTAAATTGTATAACAGGCCAAATACCTCAAGAATTCAAAAAAAGTATCATTACTCCCATTTTCAAATCTGGAGACAAACAAAATATATCTAACTACATACCAATTAGTGTTATAACCAACTTTACTAAAATTTTTGAGAAATGGCTTAAATCACGATTAATTAATTTTCTAAATCAAAACAATATTATTAATTCAAACCAATTCGGATTCTTAGAAGGTAAAAGTACGGAAAATGCAATGTATGAGGTTACTAATAAAATTATAAAAAAATTTGATACTGGACAAAAATAAAATAAACAATTGTGAGAGTGAAAGCATGACAATTAAAGGTGGTGTCACAAGGTATAGTGTTAGGTCCCATTTTGTTTATTCTATACATTAATTCATTACTCTCTTTGGACATAAATGATAAAATAATATCATATGCAGATAACACTGTCATATTGTTCAGAGGTGATACTTGGGCCGATGTAGAAATTATTGTTAAACTAGACATGTTCACGGTTAAGAAATGGTTAGACAAATATCAGTTATCTTTAAATGCTCCCAAAACCAAATATATCGCTTTTACAAAAACTAATGTAAATCGTCCACTCTTTAATTCAATAAAAATCGAAAATATTAATGAAAGTATCTTGGAAACTAATTACATAAAATACCTAGGCATAATGATTGATCAAAACCTGAAATAGGAAGAACATATTAACTACTTAACAAAAAGAGTTGGAAAATTAATAAATTTTATCAACTTCGTGATATTCTTAATAAGAATCTTTTAATTTTAATATACAAATCTCTAGTTGCGTCACTACTAAGATACGGCATCTTAGTATGGGGTGGTCTTTATTCAAATAACTTAAATAATTTAAGTATTATACAAAATTATGTATTAAAAGTGTTCCTAAAGAAAGACAGAACATACTCAACTAGATGTCTATATAGTTCAGAAAATTTTAATGTCAGGTCACTGTATTTTCATTCGCTATGCTTATTTACATGAAAAAAAAAAAAAAAGAAACAGCAAAATATGTTGTGCATGAAGTTACGACTAGAAGTGTTTCAAATAAGTTATTCTGGACTCCACAAATTAACTTTAATTGCAATAAACGATTTGCTACGTTTTTAGGACCCAAATGTTTTAATCTGTTGAGTAACCACATAAAAAATATCAAAAATTATAAAAGTTTCTCAAAATTAAGTAAAACTACCTAGTTTTCATGAACCTTTTTTTTTTCTCCTGGGCTCGTCTGACTATGTGTCTGCGAATAACACTGAAGCCTATTGGCTTATTGTGTTTTACCCCATGTTAATTCATAGCACCCACTCTATCACCTTTGTACCTTGTACAAGTTTGTACA